TGATCACAAGTGTTTCTTCTGATAATTCGGATAATCTGAATTTAAATTTGAAGCCACTGTATCAGTTCGATTTAGGGTTATTGGGAACGTCGAACATTTGTTCCATTTCATGACCTAATTTTTGTTCACATTACCGGTTTATAAATTCGGCATTTAGAATTTTTCTGCCCAGCATTATTTTCATGGCAGAAAAGTTCCTGAGTTACACTCATAATGAAATTGATTTGAACATATCTTCCCTATAGAGATTATTGCAAATCAAACTAGATTATGTGAACTGAATTTCGGCCAGATGCAAACTCAAATCTTGACGAATTGTTTTGTGTCTCTGACTATTTTCAGGCAACCACCAAAAACGATGTCCTCTTAAACAATCTGTTTCATCCAAACTTCCATTTCGGTGTGTTGATATTGTTATTCGACGTTCAAAAATTGTCCTAAGTGCTATTCAAAGTATGTAAACATATAACGGTTTATTGATGTGGCTAATCTGTGCATAAAATGACTGGCTTATTCCAAATGCTCCGCCTCAGAGACGTGTTAATAATATTGAAATTCTCCGTCTTTATGAATGATCTGTTATTTGCGTCACAGCCGCGACTGAGCACCCGAGTAGCGGGGTCATCCTGAAGGTACATAATTTGTATACTTTAATTAGGTTCGCATGTCTGTAATGAAACATACACATCACGTATATATTCTATATATTATGTGTCATGCATTCTAGATTTAATTTTTCATGAACAGGATATAAGTTATATATAACTATCGCATATACTATTTCATATTTGTAATCTACCGTAATTAAAATTCTCTGATTGGTATACTATTCCGTGTTCAATTTGCTTCTCGAATCTAAATATTTTTAATCGGTTATAAAAATTATAAAAATATGAAGCATCTCTCATTAGTCCCGAGAGTGTCATTTTATGTACGTAAAGTTAATTAGATATGATGCAACAATATTAATTCTTCAGTTGGAGAATATGACAATAAAAATTCAGCAAGCACTTAAAATTCTAAGTAGCAGCATGTGACCAACAATGCTAATCCAGCCTCGTCATCACCGCATTAAACTGCGAACGCAGAAAATTCTATGTTTGGGGGGGGGGGGGTGCGCCAGCCTCTTGCTGATCTCAAGAGTCTAGACTTGTTATTTAACTTGCTATGGAGGCTACGGGAAAATGCTTAATAAGTATCGGAATTTTATAGCGTGAACATTATTCTGCCGGAAAAGGGAACTTTTTTGAGGAGCAAATTACCCTGAAACAGAGTGGCAAAAGCAACATTGGTAGGCGAAAGCGGAACTTGAGAGTGGTGGTGTAGTGATAGTGGTGTTGTGGTAGTGTGGTGGTGGTGAGGAGGTGTGGTTTCACCACCACCTCAACATTTCAAGCAGGACATATGGTAAAGATTTGTAGGAAATATGCTCAACGACGACGCAACGCACCGCATCAACCCAACAGGTATGAACGTAACGTGTTCTCTTATAACTCGACTCGCTCTCTGCGCTCAAGAGATGCTTAGCCGCTGTCGACTACGTCTACCTGGCTTTAGTTAAATGCAGCAACTTGAGAATATTATAAATATTATGAAACACATTTAATCGATCCGTACAATATATACTTAACGTTGCAATAATTAGTCTGAATTGATCGCAATATTTCCGATATAGCAAGTTGGCGCATACGCAAAATTCGAAAAAAATTTACGCAACGTAGCTCAGGTGAACATGAAAAATTGGATTCGCCGTCATCTTTTGAAAAACCTTTTCACAGCAAAATTCTCCATTTTTCCTCGGACAATTTATATCAGGAGCAGTTTGATATATGCCCAGTGGCTTAAAGTGGCAAAGCCCAACCCTTAATTTGGGTTTAGGCTTTGTATAAGAGGCGATGCTGCTGCCCGCATATGTGGGGCTCAGTTTTCTTTGTCACACCTGTCTAATTATTCTGTAGGCACCTGTAGCACGTGCAGAGCTTCCTGCCAGCTTTGTCTTCTATAAAAGATCACTTCTCTTCTGACGCTCACGGTGAGTAAGCCATAACTGGTGATCATACCATAAGGAGAGTGTAAAATTTCAAAGACGGCGTATCGTTCGGTCAGATTTCATAAAATCGAGCGCGCATGGAATGTACCAATATAAAAGTGATAATAACTCTTTTTCTCATTATTAATATTTTTTAGTGTATACTGTACTGTCTGTACAGATCTTTAAGTACGATGGCGCCATTTCATTGCTCACCGGGCCCTTATAATGTTTCTAAAACTCTTTTTGTATTAAATAATTTTTGTTGTTGCTTATAGGAGATTAACGAAGGTATCCAGATCTTTGTTTTTTTTATTGTTTCTCTGAATTTTGACTATAATCAAGAACTCCCGCAGGTTCTTATAACTTTTGTAGGAGATGTAAGCGGTATCGGGAAGAGTGATCGGAAATCTTCATCTCTTTCGATATAATGCCAATTAATGCTTCAACAGGGCTCGCCTTAGGTCGCTTGTCAATATTTGTGGGTTTTGTTTTGTTCCAATGAACAGGTTACGTTATTGTGATTTTTCTGATTTGATTTTTCCACTTGGGTCATCTTTAAGTTACTTCAAGAAAAGCGCCTATCAAAAGCCTCTTTGTCCCAGGTGGTTGTAGAAGATAAGTGTAGTTGCCACAAAATGCGGAACATTGTTGCGATTCCGTTTGTGCCTTAATTGTATTTCGCTCATCACAAAACCTTTCAGACAAAATGAGGGATGAACACTTGATGCCTCAGTATCCTGGACCGTTTCTGTTGCTTTGAAATAAGTTTTGGTGTCCATAATTCCTATGTCATAGTTTTCTTTTTTATATATTGTGAGGTCGAGAAAGTTTAGCTCCCGATTGCTGATTTCCATCGCGAATTGTAATGACTCGTTAATCGTGTTAACTTTTTCTTAGAAATTATTGAGGACATCATCACATTCTTTACTCTGGAAGAAAATGTCATCTATGTATCTCCGATACAGAATAAGTTTGAGAATTTAGTCTACAAAGTTTCTTTCCAACGAATGTAGGTATATATCAGCAATCTCGGGTGAACACTTAGATTCCTGAGCTAAGCCAATTTCCTCCTTATAGAAAGTTCCATTGAGTTCCAGTATGTTATATTTTTAAGAATCAGCTGTAGGATTTCCCTCTACGAAGTTCATCGTAAAGTTCTTTATAATTTCATAGGAGAAAACGCTGGCATCATAGGCCTTCCGCTTTACATCGATTTCTACTCTCAGTGGGATGTTACTCATGTTAGTATACATGGTCACGATGTCCATGCATACAAACACTAACATTTTCACAGGAAAATCGGTTTTGAAGAAGTATCAAAGCCAGCCTCGGTGTCGTCGTCATGCGGTTCATCATATTGGGCTCTTTGCTCTGCCTCGTCGCTGCCAGAGTCGTCAAAGATCAGGACGATGCGCCTCAGGTAGACTAATTTTCCAACTCTAATATTAAAAACAAATTGGCGTGCACAAATACACGTCACAGTTTTTATATATATTTTAATTTGACATTTACTTCCCTAAATTTGAGTGTTATAAGCATTTTCAGGTTTATTGAAGCATAAAATACACAATAAATCATTCAAATGTTTTATCTTCGTGCACTCTGTCCCTCCTCTAATCGAATTACTACATTGCTTTCGTTTTGATGATAATTTTGAATATTCTAATTTTATTTCACTGAACTTTTTATTATAATAATTCCCATTGTGTATCGCAAAGGAACTAGTATCGCTTAATAAAAATTTATAAATTTCTCACATTCCTTGTTCTCGAAAGGTTCAAGTGGACGAGCTGAAAAAATTGATTTTTTTCGAAGTCATTCCAGGGCAAGAAAAGACCATGGCCCTGTCACGGCAAGGACGGACTTCCACAATTGTGCCCAAGTCAGTAAATAAACGAGAAATTCTCATTTGATAATGACACAAGTGGCATCAAAAAATGCACAACACGAAACTGTTGACTCTTTTCACGCAGTGCTTAAATTGCAGGAATTTGTTTAAAAACCGTAGAGGTAAACTTTAGGCCTGTGATGATATTTGGTTAGTATACGGCCTTGTGTAAATTCCGAGGTATGATTATGCAACAAATATTCATAAGTGTTTAATAATTTCTATTTAAAAGTGGTTAAGGCATGGAAGTTATTTATTCTCAACTGTCGTAAATTCACTTCATATGTTTGATTTAATGTAACAATAGTATGTGTTTTTTGCATGCTTGAGTGTATCAAATGTTTTGAGAAGATGAAGATTGAAAGAAGATGAGAATTATTTGGTTCACATACGGATAATGTGGGTTAAAAGCGTTAAAATGATAAAATGTTAAAAATGATTTATTAATAACATTTTAGTAACCTTTTTACGTGTGAAGTATGTTACGCATTATTAACGTCTCATTTGAACGTCCTCATTCTCCTAAGACGAGCTACAACTCCACCGCCTGATACCGACACTGCAGATACCTTCGCTGCACCCTACCGTTGTACAACTGAAGGCATCCTCACTGCATGTCCAGGCAGGGAACTCGTAGATATTCTTGAGCAATGTCCTACCACCTGCCACTACTTCTACAGTCTACTACTACTACTGCCACTACTTCTACTACTACTGCGCCTGCCACTACAAAAACTACCACTACGCCTGTCACAACAACAATCTTTACAACGCCTACCTTTGCAACCACTTCGCCACCTACTACAAAAATGTTCATTCAATATTTTGCGAAATATGACTAAATATGTCACTCCAATTGTCGATTCAAACAACACATTGCCTTCTAGTACCTCCTAAGATAACTTTACAGAGACTAATTTTATTATATTTCCAGCAAGTGGTCCGGCAACTGACTTGTGTACTCAGTACAGCGCTAAGTACAGCTGTAACCACACGTTATGCTTGCCTGCCAAGAACTGCACCACCGATTCCGTTGTGTGATTATGCGGGGTGACGGAGGCCGGCAAGGCTAGGATCGTGGAACTTCACAATCAGGCTCGACAATTGGTTAGAAACTTTTTATGTAACCTTAGATATGTAAATATCAAATCAAACCTTAATAAATTTCAGTTAAAACTCATGCACGGCACTATTGTCTCGAATAAATTATCAGCGAAATGATAGTTTTCATTGAATAAATAGCTGTACTTTCTTAAGATTCATTATTTTCAAAACTATTGCGGTAATTTTCATCCACTTCCCTCAGATTGCGTTGGGTCAAATGAATCTGGGGTCCCCGGGTCCTCAGCCAGCTGGCACGAACCTCCGCGAGATGTCTTGGAACGACGACCTCGCGCGGAACGCGCAGGTGGGAACCGCTGGCAGAGAACTTAATTCATTGATTGTATTGGCACTATGATATATCATTAGTTTGTATTGTTTGTATTAGGTACCTTGATTAATGCGGAACGTCATTTGAATGTATGACCACAATTGTTCTAGTTTGAGAGATAAAAATTAGTTGCTGTTTAGTTTTCAGCGATTTTAGTCATTAGGTTTAGTTTGAATTAACCTTTTTGGAAGAATATTGACAACAATACTTAAAGCTCATTTGTGTAAATCGGTTCCAGCGCAAATTTTACGGTCAAGGATTTCGTTTTTGTGAAGTTAATTACAACAGAAATCCGAAGAAGTAGGCCTCGAAAAATCGTAACTATCAGTCTTGGTCTATAGATTACGTTTGTGCTCTCGTCTACTGCGCAGTCGTGGGTGGCAAATTTAACTCTTAAAACCGACAAAAATCAAATTAACTGTACGCCAGATCGTAAGCCAGACAAGGAACGCCTTGCTTAATTAAAGCCACAGCGGCCGTAGATCTACAGCCACCGCTTAAAATTCATAAACAGGCGAATTTGCATCCGGCCTTTACCTATATACTCACCTTGCCCCGCATCTCCACCTTCATGCAGTAAATAAGGCTAGGTTATGTCTGTTTACGTTTGTTCTAGGTGGATAATCGGGGCAAGAACTGCCTGTGTTTTAGCGAGCAGTAAATGAGGCTAGGTTATGTCCGTTTATGTTTGTTCTAGGTGGATAACCGAGGCAAGAACTGCCTGCGTATGAGCGAGCAGTAAATGAGGCTAGGTTATGTCCGTTTATGTTTGTTCTAGGTGGATAATCGAGGCAAGAACTGCCTGCGCATGAGCGAGCAGTAAATGAGGCTAGGTTATGTCCGTTTATGTTCGTCATGGGTGGATAATCGGGGCAAGTTGCACATAAACAAGCAGTGTTAATCAAAGACCATGGACTAGCAATAGTGGACTAGTGCGTGGCCCAGTGGTTACAGTTACCAAGATTGGGGCAGAGAACTGCAGGTTCGCTCTCAGCTCTGTGCGAGTTTCTGGTCAGAATCGGCAAGGAGGCCGGACGGTTAAGCAAAACCAATGTGAAGGAGTGAGTTGCGAGTTCAAGACCTCAACAAGCTGTGAATGTTCTGCGACATTTATAATCGGCGACAGGCCTACGGCCTAATAAACGCTGAAACCGCAATTATCTATTACTTTAAGCGCTTGACATCGTAGCTAGGCCATTATGCGCTCTGGCGTGCTTAGCCACGAATAGGAATATGAGTCTTTTAATCTAATAATTAATATTTCACTCTCACGCAGAAGTAGGACTTTTTCCATCTACGGCTACTTATAGCTCCTCATTCCTTCCCAGACGCATTTTATTTATTTCAAATTTTTATTATGCCTTTCCAGCGCTGGGCGGAGCAGTTAAAGCCTGGTTATGATTGCAATGCCGAATTCATGCCGAACAAGCCTTGCTGCTTCGTCCCAGGCTACGACTCTGCTGGCCAAAACATATACGACAGAAATAACATAACTCTGCCTCAGACGGAAGCGCTTCTCACACAGCTATCTGTAAAATAATATGATATAAATACACCTACATACTTACATTTAGTAAAGTACTAAGTTAATATTATATTTATACGTTAACATTCACGTCGCTCGTAATGTATTAAAATGAACCATGTATTAATCATGTATATTAAAATGAACCATATATTTTACTGTTACGTGACAAATCATATCTTGTGACGTATGTACATATACTTGATGTATATATATGAGAATTTCGTAAACTCTTTTAAAAATATTTTTTTTTTGACTCGCGTTGAGCAGTTGACGATGTGGCAAGATGTAATCACAGAATGGTTCTCATCTGTTAAGTTCATGAACGGCTCCAGCTTGACGTTGACAGGGTTTGCTCAACCATATACCCAGGTAACTTCGGATGCCCAAATTTTGATAATGGGTTTAAGATTATAGATAGTTTCTTGATTTTGTACTACTGCTGAATATTATGATAAAAAAGTATATCTGCTTATTTTGGACTATACAGTATAGTGAGTGGTATATTATATTATTATATTTTGGACTGTATAGTATAGTGATTGGTATATACAGTATAGGGAGTGGTATATTATTCGTTGAGTGAACCTTGTTAAAATATAATAAATATTGTTTCGTTTGCATATAGCAAAAGCTGATCTACTTAATATCCGTACCATCATATTCTGCTGAATTAACCGAATATAAGCTCAACAATTTTCATGCATTAGATGGATGTAAAGTCGTAGCAAGTGGTTTTCAACTTCATGTCTCATTCGCACATGAACTCCAGATTGTATGGCATAACACTAGTCAAGTCGGCTGCGGAGTCTTCGCCAATTACAATGATTGTGCTTCACTTGGCGCGGAGCCTAATTCCAACTGCATCAAGATCGTCTGCAACTATGCCCCCGCTGGCAATGTGATCAACCCAGACGGTATTCGCCAGCCCCCCTACAGCACTACCGAGGGCTGCGTCACACCCTCCACCAAATACCCGGGGCTTTGTGCGAACTGAAAACGCCATCAGAGCGACAGGAGTTGATGTTCTTTGATAGGAAAGATCTATTCTTTATTTGGTCTAAACTTATTCCCGAGGGCTGTTTAGTGTTGTTTCAGGAAAGAGCTACTTCCTTATAGAGCAGTTCAACACTAAAAACTTTTGTGTCTCGGACTTATCACTTTGCCTCCATCTCAAAATGGGTCTTTTTTCGGACAAATTGCGCGATTTAGTGTTTGCAATTGCGCTGGCCGGCAAAAATGTATGATGGCGGTTCGTCTTTATTGCATTTTGCAAAATACGGTAAAAAGGAAAACTGTTTTTTTGCACTTAAACCTGCAAATTTAATAGTAAATATTGAATTGTGGGCCTCTTTTGTTCCTTATTTGTCCGCAGACTTGGGGGCGTTTTTTTTTGCCAAATTGTAACCCCGATCTCACCGATAACAGTCACAACCAAAGGAAAATGTCACTTGGCTCATGGGTTTCATTTTGAAAACATATTTTTTATTTTGCAGTTTCCTTCCTCTTTCAAGTTTCTGCGAGTGCCCACTTTTGCTTGAGTAAATTTTTGTTGGTGATTAAAATTCCCATCCGTTAATTATTCTCTTGAGTGAATAAAAATTTTCTGCATTGAGTACATCTTTTCATTCCTCCTACATTGAATATGTTGAAAAGAGTGATGCTTTAACCTGATACTTTTCATAAAGATATCAGTCTTTGGGTGACTAACATTCAGCAAAACTCTAGCATTTGCTCCTCCAAACTACCTGAAAGTAGTTGCAACACTTGTGGTCCTTTTCTTTTATACTTTTTAATGCATATGTATAAATTCGTTAACAATTTAAACTTGCATTACATTTGCTTTCGTTTGAGAGAATATTAGAATAGTTAACCAATCATGACCCAGCTTCTAGCATTTCAAACCAAACCAATGTAAACGGTAAGTCAAACCTATAACTACTTATTTAATGTATAATGGCGACAATCATTTATAAATTCATTTATATTCGAACGTGGATGCGGGTCTCAGGCAAGGATGAAATATAATTATAATAGAGGGGATAAAATTTCATCACTTAATGGATATTTTCTGCCTGAAACGAGAACCTGCAGTGATAACTACAACAGAAATTGTTGTTATTTTGTTGCTGCTGTTCCTGCAGACATTTGCCCATTTCGGAGACCAGCTCGTACTAATAATTGCGGTTTCAGCGTTTATTAGGCCGTAGGCCTGCCGCCGATTCTCAACATCGCAGAATATTCACAACTTGTCGCGGTCTTGAACGCTCAACTCTCTGCTTCAAATGCATTCGATGTATTGCTTAACCGCCCGGCCTCCTTGCCGATTCTGACCAGAAACTGGCGCACAGAGCTGGGATCGAACCCGCGCCTCTCTGCTCCAATCTTGATACTCTGAACTGTAACCACTGGGCCACCCTGCTCCCAGTCATGAAACTGGAAAAATATTTCATGATACACGAAAAAAATTTTCTTGATACACGCCTCAAATACAACTTCTAAAAGATTTTCGACTTAAGACAATCTAAGAAGTTAAAATCAATCTAAGGTACTAGTTTATGAACGAAACAGAATTCACTGATGCTCATGACAAGCGACGGTCCCGCTTATCGAACCTGACTGTGATAAGGCAATTCATGATATGGGACGGTTGTGTCGACCGTGCTTGACAGCTTCAAGGCAATTCGAGGGACGGAACGGTTACGCTGATCTTGCCTGCAGAATGCGACAAGGCGAATCGAGAAACTGGAGAGTTTAATTGATTGCGCCTGACAGCGAAAAAACAATACGCGGGACGACAATCAGTCAGTTTGGCAAGAGGACGATGCGTAGCTCTCAGGAACCGTTTAGCGATATTTCTTTCTAATTCATTAGTCAGTTAAAACATTTCCAATCTTCCTGTCTGATGGCACTTCAAAAATCGAGACTGGATAAAATTCGCGATTAAACTAGGGAGAATGCAATAAAAATATGTATATGTCAATAATCATCTATAACCTATTATATCACAAAAATGGCTCCTCAAATACTTAACAAATTAATAATTTATTACTATTAATAAATAATACCAGTCGTAATTTATACAAAACATCTTCCGCGCAAAACTTAGGAGTGGCCCCCACCATATCACAACCTTCGCGCGTGCATAATTCGTGTAGAGTGCCTTACCTTGCGTGCACGTTGGTAGTATAGAAGTGAGCGTTCTAGTACGGTTTTGTTAAATGTGAAAATCACTGTCAGTTACCCAATCTTCCTGGTTCAAGTGACTCTTATCCAATTGAAGCAAAGCCTGACATTCATCAAGTCGAAAGGTGAGTTTATACCCTTCTCAGTCCACTAACTACCCCACCTCATGTCAATGAGTGGGTTCATACCTTCGTCAGCCCACCCACTACCCCACCCTCGTATCCTACCGCAGGCCAAAGGGTGAGCTCGCACTCTCGTTAGCCCAATCACTACCTCACCCTCATATCTTACTGCCAGCTCCAATTCTTCCACTGTACAGTGATTTTCCGATTCGTATTTGTTGCCTTGTGATATTTCTAGATATTGCTATGTTGACGTCTTGGTCCAGCGTTAATATCGCGTCATACATATAAGGAATCGCGTCATACGTACATTACATACCGCATAATACATAGAAGAGACGCTGCTATGATACGAAAGTTACAGGTATTTGATTAGGTCGTTAAAGTAGACTTGATTTTATTACAGATCAATCGGCAATACCGTCCACTTCACTGCGAAACCAAATTTCTTACTATGTCCATCTCCTTTGCGTTTGCCCGATTATGATCATAAAATGGTCGTCATTCACGGCACCATAAGGATTGCGAGAACTTAAAATGCTCCTGATTTAAAATACCCATTGTTTCTCGAGTTAACATATCCGTTCCATTAGAAATGCCAGTTCCATTACCTGCTAGATGTGAGTGTTATCCAACGTTGAAATGGGTGGCTATTTACATGTTGATATCTTTTCTTTCAACTTGACATCTTTAGTTGATATAATTTCTGAGTTATCAGACTTTCCGCGTGCGCTTGTAGCTACGATATATGGAGAAGCTGTTCGTCTACCGAGAGTGTACGGTAGCATCCTCGATTTCAACTGTTGTAGTAGCGTCAACTCATCTCCTTACGTCAGGTGCGATAAAGATAAATTTGGGAGCTGTCATGCTGGGATGGAACAGTAGGTGTTCAGGGTATTACGCAAGTAGTTGCTTGCCAGCCACGACCGTGTGCAGTACATGAACTATTGATTCCTTTGAACAAATTCTCCAGCCTTTGCTGATCAGCTTGGCCTAATGTTTTGTCATGGCGAGTATTCAATCGTATTTTTTTGTGCTTCAGCCGAAACAATGTATTTGATGTGGTGTTAATCATATTTTAAGGAAGCTTTTCACGACATATCCCGATATGGTAGTAAGATATTTAAAAATTGAGACGCGTGATCCTTCTTAGAAATTGAATGCCGTGCTCGAGGCAAAACTCGACATGTAATAATGTAGTACAGCAGTACAACGCAACTTGGTAACGACCGTGTGTGCTTGCGGCCTTGCTGTGAGGGAAGTGACCGATAAAGGACGTGATAAAAAAATGACCTTGAGAGCTTCTTAAGTATGACGAACGACGACGTACTGCCCCGCCTGCCCGTTGTTAAAGTTCGTCCTACTCGAGAACCTGGGATATGATTACGCAGATAATTATAGAATAGAAGTTTCGGCACTGAAGAAATAGGCCCATGGCCTGTTGCCGATTCTTGATTTTTTCGTGACTTGATTCACAAGGGATCCGGCCTTTGGAACCCGATCTTTGCATAACTGACGATTGATTGAGATAGCTGCTGGACTTATTGCCTGGTCCGTAATATACTAGGCATTTTAAGGCTGAACATATGCTCCTGCATAGCTCCGTCTAGTCTGTTCTTGAAGGCGTTCATACTCGGAGCGTCAACGATGCTATCAGGGAGGCTGTTCCACATGTCGGTGACTCGAAGCGAGTAGAAATTCGAATGAATGTGTTACAACGCAGTTTTTTTAGTTTATAGCCGTGTCCCCTGTTGCTGGTTCTTGTATCAAATTCTAGTAATCCTTCTGGGACCTTGTATAAGCCATGGGTATACTTATATGCTTCAATGAGGTTCCCAATTATAAATCACGAACTCCTCTATTGTGCTCATGACGCAACAGATTGCATAAAAGAAGGTCGCAGATATTTACGTCTTCAAAATATGTGACTGGAAGTACTTTACTTCAGTCATTCTTAATCTTATGCATATTTTGTTGAAAATTTTTCTTCAAGCAGGTAGCTAAAATGTCTACTCATGAAGGATGGTTACGTCCGGCCGGATATCTAGAGCAGTCCCAGGCCAAGCTGTATGACGACCACAACGTCGTCATCAGCTACGTTCTTCGCCTAGCCACGTCTCGAGAGGTCCACGAATGCGATGTGAAGCAAGTATTCACGCATCTGTTCAGGTGTGTGATGGCAGGGCCACAAGTGATATGCATATCCATAAATTCACATCATTTAATTTTCTTTGTTGAATTTATGATAGATAAAGTCCTCTTGATGATATGAGAGGTAAGCTGGGGAATGAAGTATTTGATGCCTCCAACTGGGCACTGACCATCGAAGAACGCTTTGGTATCGCATTCTTGGGGGATCAGATATTTGACCGATTTATCCATTTATTTTTTTGCATTTATCCGCACATACATCGATTAATACAATTATAATACCATATTCGTATCGGTTAATCTATTTATCAACAAGTTCACTTCTCTTCGTTCAAATGAAATAACAGACATACAGAGAAGGTTACGTCTTTGAATAACGTTTCTTATATCATCCGGCAACTTTACACTGCACACATATGTATATAAATGTTCCTGGCATTATTCTCTTTCTCCTAGCAAATCTGATTGTTCAAGCTGTCTGAAAAACTATATCCGAAAATAATTATTTAGCTCACCTGATTCTTTTAAACATGAAAGTTTTGAGTCCATTTTGAGAAGATTGTTTATGTGAAGAAGGCAGGTAAGAGTGAGCTTGCTGTCAAAAACTTGATAAGCGAGCACGTTATGATTGATTCTGTTGGATTTGAATCGCACGATCGAATGTCAAAAGAAACAAGGTTAGAGTTTAGACCGCATCAGGGCAGGAATACCATCCATTGATACCAATGAACAAGGATCCATTTTGTAATTATTCAGCATAAAAACATGCAAGTTAAGATTCGGAAAATATTTCAGACATAAAAATTTAAATGTTCTGGCCTCTGGAAAAGAAAAAAATTTTATTCATCCTCCTTCTTTTCTCTATGCGCAGGAAGACCATCAATTTAAGGATGTTGCCTGAAATGAGAGACGGCCAGCTCTGGATACGAGAGTTGCAACATGAGAACCTCGATTTCCAGGTAGAGACACTAGACCATAATTTATTCGAGATTTTTACAATTTGAATTTTGAGGGAGTGCTATACTTTCTTTGAACGGAATGTAAGAATTGTGATTTTTATGGGGATTGGCCTTTTGAATCTACCCGTGTTTTATTGTATGATATTTGTTGGACGCCATTTTCCAGACCCTCAATGATGCAGAAGTGAACGCTGTATACCACGACGTGGCGAGCTACAGGTACAACATGAGCGTTGGGCCAGCATGGGCCGTGCGTTTTCTTCCACTATCCCCAAAACACGATGAATATATCAAGCGGACGACCATGGAAAATACGGGGAAGAAACTCGAAAAACTGCCTCATGTTTGCCACATTGTAATGAGCTTCCATCACAGCATAACCGACGGCTTTACTTGCGTGCGCCTCATCCGACACATCTTGATGCTTTTGAATGATGTCATAGCAGGAAACCCCATAGATGATTCCGAGCAGTATGCTCGCATGATGGACATTAAGAAGCAACAATTGGTTTTAGAAGAATTTGAGCGCGCATTCGAGGCTGACCCTAAGCTGTTGCAAGTCCGAGCTGAGTCATTACTGCAGTCAATCCCTGATGCGCTTCTTAGCAAAGTGTACCCACACCCGTCTACTAGACCGCCAAAAATGAAATGCCTTCCCCGCATCCTTGACAGCAAAACTACGGCGGTTTTTGTCAGCCGCTGCAAGGAAGAAGGTGTCACAGTTCACACTGGCTTCAGCTCGGTGATTGAAGCTAGCATTGTCAAAGTTTTACTGGACGCTAACTTTATCCGGGATACGTACACCATTGGAGGACTTCACTGTATCGACCAGCGATGTTACTTCAACGACGTTGACAATGCGTATGGTGATGGCCATGGTGTAATGGATGTAGCCTCAGAAGTACCGAAGGATATTCTAGACAACTTTTGGAGCCACGCTAAGCAGTATCACGCCAAATTTAAGGACCTACAGGTCTGTAAAAACAGCATAGAAATTGAAGTGATTGAAAGAATGACGGGTCACGACCAGCTTATAGTCATTGATGCTCAGGGTATCGACTCCCTCCCAAAGAAGACTGCCCCATACCTAACCACGAACATGAGAGACGTCACCGAGACTTTGAGTAACTGTGGGGATAACGTCGATCTCCTTTACTACGACTGGATGTCGGCGACCCAAGAGTTGGGGATCGACTGGCTGAGCTCTATTCACACTTACAACGGACAACTCATGCACACCATGCAGTATAACACTCAACTCATGGACGAAGGACTCGCTGTAAGAGTTGTCGATTCAGTATTTGAAATATTGAGGAAGGTCGTTGAAGAGCCGAAACACAAATGAATATTGAAGCGTGCTAAGTTGGTGAATTTTTGAGAGATGCAAATTCATCTTATCTCTGATTTGACTAGCACTGACTATTTGAAAATTAATTAATTCGTTTTATTTAGTTTAGAATATCATCATCATCGAATTGGCTCGCAAACATCAACTTGTCGATGAACGAAATTTTTCTACTGTAATTGTTAATTTCGACTAATGGCGACCTAATTTCATATTAAAATTGAATAAAAGCGTAGTAGTTGGTTCATAGACTCACCTTTTCATTAGAGTATCCCTGAAAAATCGAACAATGAGTGAAGGCATTTTAAATTCCAACGACTCTTGCCATTTTAGTAGGGCCTTTAGTTACATGCCAGATCGCAGTCTTTACTTAGAATTTGTAATCTCTGAGGTTCCGAGGCTTATCACTAAGATGCTCTGTTGTACTGGAGTTGGACAGAAACCGGGGGCTTTGATATTTTTGAAATGAAGTTTCTGACTCCTTTTTGAATTCATATAAAAAATTAAAAGTCGTCATTATGTTTGTTTGTTTTTATTTTAGTACCTTGAATCTGATGAATTTAAATTCTTGATTGTCAGTCAAACAAACATTTTAGCATTTTATGGAATTGCGAAGCTCACTGTCCTCACGATTGCTGTTGCCTATTCGAAAAATTAGAATCTAATTGTCGCGGAATAATTCAAGCTTGGAGGGAATTTATCTTCCGTCCTGCAGTTCTATCCACCTAACGCCGACTTGACATAGATAAAGGGTCCAAAAAATAAGGATCTAAATTCACCATTTATTCTATCTTGCCAGCGTTAAACCTGCACATATGGAATTGTATCACAACTATTGCATCTATTTTGTTGGTCTAAGAGCATTTAAATGGGCATGGTTAACTATTTATTGCTTTAAACGTGATATTCGAAATATGTAAGAAATTTCCACATTCCTTTGGTTCTAAATTTATTTTTTGTCCATACCTATTGTTGGATATGGATTTGTAAATAGGAAGAGTTGGCAGTAAGCCTTAGAGGTGATAACGTCAAATCAATGGTGCTCCGGAAGGAGAGTGTAAAGCCTTCCCTCCCTAATTGCTATTTATTATTTTGGATGATCACTCTTTGATTTTCGTTTTATTTATTTTTCTTAAGTGCATGTTCGCTCTTCCTTAATTAGAAGAGGGCCGACTCCAGATCAAATCATATGCATCGCCCAATGCTGTGGCTAGGCCACTTTAACTTTGGAGCTTTGGCTCTTTATACAATTGTATGTTCCTAACCTTATGGAAAGGCTTAGTTCTTTCCAATAATTAACCCTTACTTCTACTTTCTACCCCGTCTACCCTTACTTCTACTTTCACGATTTCCCTTTATATGGCCTCTTTTATTGCCTCTTAAAATTGCTATTTAACCGCTTGGTGGTACAAGATTATAAGGTTGGTGCGAGACAGTTACATTACGGTAACAATACTGAAATAGTAAGACAAAACATTAGGCACGTTCAGCTGTTACTTTTTTCTCCATTATTCAACGGCTATTTCAATTTCATTTCCATAGAATTCCTGCATATCTGGAGCGACACTTCGTTCGATTTTTTGGGGGGCTTTCTGCGACTACAAATATGTAATTCTGAGATGCTCCTTATTGTAAAGGGTGCGTAAATTCATTGTTTAATAAGATTAAATTAACAACCAAAAAGTTGAATATTTTTGTCATACCTTATTGTGCGCTTAAAACTTGTTTCTACCAATGTCCTTGTAATTTTTCGATAGTTATGTTGGACCGGGTTCCATCGTCCATAAGGTCGGCAACCTCTATTAATACATCTACCAAGCTCTTATTCTGGAACTTGGTCTCGCTCCTAATTTCTTAGGCGCCGTCTTCCTCAAGCTTTGTACCGGTCGTCCGTGGGATCAAGTCCAAAAAAAAAGTTCAATTTGTTTCTTGTTTGTGTATCAAGTCAAACAAATGTACTACAGCATCAAATAATGAGAAAATGAAAACTGTTTTTTCTTAATGCAAAATGAGCTGAAAAGATGAGCAATTCACAAACTAGTTTAATTCTAGCATCCACAAATTGTGCTTTGAAATAAAAAATAAGAACGTTTGAATAAATTCCTGCACATTTGTTCCAAACATTAACCATAGCTTTCTCAAATGCAGGTATTAGCATATTACGAATAATGTCTAGTGTGTGGAAAAGCAATTACATCGTAGACGTCGTCATTCATCGTCAAAATAAAGGCGATGAATCAATATTTAGGAAAGTTTAAATTTCTATTTTATTTCTGCTAATGCTACAAGGGTCGATACTGCGCAGGCACCTGCATGAATAGTTCAAATGCTCTAAGGAAGAGAGGAGCTGTTGCAATGAACCTGGAGCGACATATTAACAGTCTAGTTATATTGCAGCGCAAATATTAATCAATTTATACCCCTATAACTACTCAATTATGCATTGACTATATTCTGTAATGTAGCAGGCAATATTGTATATTCAGGCCTGACTTGTAGCAGACAATATTGTATATTCAGGCCTGACTTGTAGCAGACAATATTGTATATTTAGGCCTGACTTTAGCAGACAATATTGTATATTCAGGCCTGACTTGCAGCAGACAATATTGTATATTCAGGCCTGTCTTGTAGCAGACAATATAGTATATTTGTGCCTGTCTTGTAGCAGACAATATAGTACATTCAGACCTGACTTGTAGCAGACAATATTGTATATTCGGGCCCGAATTGGAAAATTACTAACGCGGTACCTCGTTAGAAAAATCAATTTCAATATCCTTTTAGTTTCCTTGATAAATTCATTGCGAATATACATCTTTGTTCGGTGCACTTTCGCCTATAACGAATTTCTATTATTTCCTAATCGTGTTCACCATTATAGGCAGTTCAGTAATTTTGATGCCAGGAAAGCGATGATAAACGCAGTATCTTTGTAAATGTATAAATAAACAAACATGAACCCAGGAGGCGAACGTTTCAAACTCACATGGGCATAGAACGTGCACCAAATGCAGTTCAATTATTTTTTTACCTTTTCGTAATATTTCATTTTAAATTTCGTAGCTGGCAAAGAAAACTTTTGAACCTACGAGGTTCGCAGCCTTTGAACGAACTTAGGAGGTTCGTTTAAAAAATCATCTTTTCCTGAAAGTATGTGCTTTCCTAATGCAATGCAAAGATAGATTAATTTCAATTAGATTTATTGCCAAATTATTGCTGATTGCTCTCACACTGGCTTTCAGGGAACGCGCTGTTAATTTCCAGAGGACGTGCTGTCTAGCTTCATTGTTGTTTCCAAGCGTCATCTCATCAAAAGCTTTATTTTCGATCTAAACGTTACATAGCTGATTTACAAGTTTTATTCTCGTTTCACCATCTTCATATATGATTCACAATCTTCCTTCATGATTTACAAGTTTCATTCTTGATTGATAAGTTCCGTTTTCGGCTTACAGTTTCATTTTCGATTCACAAGCTTAATTTTGGATTAACAAATTTCATTTTCGATTTATAACATCTATTTTCGACTTTCAAGCTTTATGCCAGCTTCAACCGTTCATACATGTTTTTAAATTACTTTAAATGTTTCGAACGCTTTTAATAAGGCGGGTTTGGAAGCCGATGATTTCTCCGTCAATTCATAAAACAAAGGAAAATATTTTATACGCGGATGAAGTTTCGATAAACCACATGACCAACATGGCACTACCAACGTGTTATAAAATTTATTAAACTAAGGACATTGCAATTTTTTAAAACTACAAGTTCATTAAACCAATCCAATGTTTCGGGAATCAGCGAAAATTTCCTACAACTTTGGACGATCACAAGGGCGCCACATGACTCATTGTAGTCCAGTTCAGCGCATAAATAATAATAAAGGAAACGGAAATACTGCGAAACGGGGGGAGATGTATTGCGCGGAGAGAAATATGGAAATTCAAAAATTTTCAGTGCCGTATTAAGTGCTCAGAGTCTCCGAGCGCTTCTTCTTCGACTTACTACTAGGAGTCGCTAATTCGGAATCCTCGTACGATCAGGTAGTCTAGATTCCACGCCAGGAGCTGGAAAGAGGCTTCCAAGCTAGTATCCGAAGTTATGGTCCATGACAATGCACTGAGCAACCAAGAGGACACGCTCTCTTGAAGCGAATTTATTTTTGGGGCACCTCCATCAGATCTTAGAATGGATTTTGTCGTTGGAATTCTGAGTTCGCTGTTTCAGGCAGCGCTTCAAAAGTTCTTCACTCACTAAGTCCACATACATCTGCATGATTCTTTTCAGGGGCTCCTGAAGGATTTTTGCCAGTTAGAGCTTCGTCGAGGAGTGTGTGGAGCTGCGTGGAACCTATCCACCCGCTTCCGCTCGACGTACCCAACACCACGAGTCTGCACCAAGGATGCAGTACGTACCTCGATTTTGCCAAAGCATTTGACAGTGTTCCGCATGAGCGGCTGTTGCGTAAAGTGAAGTCCTTGGGGATTGAGGGAAACGTACTCCAATGGATCAGAGATTTTCTAGTAGGTAGACGACAACGTGTCAGTATTAACGGAACCGTGTCAGACTGGGCATCAGTGCGCAGTGGCGTGCCACAAAGAAGCGTCCTGGGGCCTATTTTGTTCGTTGCTTTTATAAATGATCTGCCAGAAGTAGTGTCCAGCGTGTGCTCCATGTATGCCGACGACACAAAAGTTTATAATACAGTGAAGAATGTGTCAAATAAAGCGCAATTGCAATATGATCTTGACAGCTTAGTTAACTGGGCTGATACGTGGCAGCTGCGGTTTAATGCTGACAAGTGTAAAGTACTTCACCTCGGGAAGAACAATGAACAGCAAGATTACAGTATGAGAAGACATGGTTGCAACGAGAGAGTAATGATTGAAAAGTCTAGAGTGGAAAAAGATCTCGGAGTTTATGTCAACAAGGAGCTGAAATTTTCTAAACATGTTGAAACGCAAGCTAACACATCCAACAAACTTCTTGGACTATAAGGCACGAAAAGGAAAAGAATCGGCGACAGGCCACATCAGGCCTACATTTCAGCGCCGACATCATTATGTTATATAGAGGTTTTAGCTTTTATTAGGCCGTAGACCTGTCATCGATTCTTAACATCGCAAACATCGACAGCATGTTGCGGGCTTAAACTCGCAACTTACAGCTTCAAATTTTCTTTGCCCGTCCGGCCTCCTTTCCAAGTTTCCGATTCTCACCAGAAACTGGCGCACAGAGCTGGGATCGAACCCGCACCTCTGCTCCAATCTTGGTACTTCAACCACTGGGTCATGTGCCAGGATTGATGCTCTCTCAGTGGCAAAATATAATGCCAGGATTGATGCTCTCTCAGTGGCAACATCAGCAATGGGGACGTGCTTCCAGATGTTTTGACCAAAATACCTTGTCAAAGCATTATTGGCCGTGCCCGTCAACAGTCCTGCTCCAGCATACACGCTCCTCTTGACTTTACTTT